AGTGACAGCTGACCTGTAAATGAGTGAAAACTGCAGAGTTCAGGCCATTAGATGTAGCTTGTCTGTGTTGGGACATTCTTTTGAACAGCCTTTAAAAGCCTGAATTTTGCCTGAAACTCTCAGACTGAAGAAGTCTCTTGGAGGAGAGACGAAACGTTTCATTAGAGAAGAACCCGTCCAGAAGACCTATACAATTTTTTTTCTTTTTAAAGTTTTCTGTGACTCTTCTATCTTTTGTTCAATAGGCAGGATCTGATCTGCAAACTTATTGCACCATTCTCTTCGGACATAACCCACGTTTAAGTGTTTTTATTATTGAATAAAACAAACTCTCCTTGTTCCCCRCCCCCTGCATTACTTTCTGTCCTTAATTGCATTATTAATATTGATTGAGCCTTTCTAGTCAGATCAGCAGAACCTCCATATATATATATATATTTTATTATTATTAAATTAGTCATCTTTCCTCTGTCTGACTGGAGTATACCTTCCAGATTAAACTTGACTAATATGTGGAACTGAACAAAATCAATAAATAACATAAAAAATAACAGTTTAGTTATGTAAGCTGTTCCTAACTCAAATAAAATACATGACGTACTTCTAAAAGAAGTACCTTTTTTAATGGTTAACTTCATGTTTAGGTTAATCCGAGTTTAATTATGTCCACACACTTGCAGCATGTGAGAATAGCTTTAAATATCGCACTTTTATCGGCTGTTTGCATTTTTAAAACACTCCGACCCGCTTTCCCCCCTTCAGACACCGACAACCATGTTTTCACACTCATGTAAATTTCCCTACAATCCATTTCCGTCCTGAACTGGACRCTAGCTGTCAAACCGAGCCAAGAACGGCTCCCTGGTCGAATCCCCCCACCTCCTAATACCGCAGGATAATTAGGAAAACTTTAATAAAATAATCTCACAGCTACTTAGWAACAAGCAGAAGACGTTTCCGCTAGTCCGCCATGAGCGCATCATTAAACATGCTAGCAGAACGCTAGCAGTATGTTAGCAAAGGCTGCAGCTAACAACTTCCAAGCGGCTGCCTGCCAGCCAGCCTGCCCTCCCCGAGCCAGGCTAGTCGACAGCGGCGAGGCACGAACGCCGTGGTCCCCGCACTCACCTAAAACGACACCGGTCCTGCAGTCCCTTCACGGTGACACGCTACAACGGTGGCGTCCCATCCTCCTTTTCACCACCCAGCAAGCTGCATGGATAAGAGCAAACGACGGCTAGCAGTTAGAAAAAAATATATAAATATTACAAAAAACAAGAACCACCGCCTCCTGTTGTCCAACAATATACGGGTCCAGTAGAGGGCACCACAGACCGCTTTTATACCGTGTACAAATTAAACATCTAAAACATCCACTGTGTTTATTTTAAACATTTTAAAGGTTCTCATCGAAAACTGTAAAACTAATCATAAGGGTTATCTTGAATTACATGGAATGACGAAGTTTAAAACTGTTTAATAAAGTAGTTTTGCAGGAATAATTGAATGTTATGAAATGCGGGTCCACACCTAACGTAAACAAAGCTGGAATCACATGATTTTAGCCTACCTACAGGCTGGCTACATATAAACGAATATTAACGTTTGAGCTATTTTCAGACACTTTCTGTCAGTAAACTCATTAGATTAGTCTGCTCACAAATCTTGATTTTAAATTTGTAATTTTAGGACACATTAACCATCAATATGAGGAAAAGTATTGTAGGCTACAGGCTTTGTTTTTTACTTCATAAAGTTTTTGTTTGTTTGATTTTAATGACTTACTATGATTTTTAATACTTTTATATAACATAATTTCCTGTCAGGATAGAGATACAGTTTTAATACAATATCTATCTATCTATCTATCTA